TATGTTTAAAAGACGTAAATTATATTTATTGTAAATTTTATTCAGTGTATCATAAGTCGGCAACGGCTGGACATGTACCACGGGCGGATCCAGGATTTTGTGTTAGGGGGGGGGCGTGTGATAATAACTGTGACCGAATAGTCAAATTTTGTAAAAAGCGATAAAGGAAAAAGACAAATTTTCCGACTTTTTAGGGGGGGAGGGGCGTGCACCCCCCACGCCCCCGTCTAGATCCGCTGGTGTGTACATATTACTATTTTACCTCTACATGTGTATGTATATTTTAATTGTTTTTTAGTGTAAATTGTATACGTGTGACACTTAAATAAACTATTTTCAACTAAAACTAAACTATTGACTGACATGATCCTACATATAAGATATTTGTCTGGTAGGGTTATGCCAAAAGTGAAATATGTAGCAAATCAAAAGGTTTTCATTTACTTATTTATTTATTTGCTCAACAGCTTAGATCAGCTTTGAAGCTCAGTTGTACAGCATTCTACAGTAATTGAAGGGCTCTTAGTTCAATTCCCACTGGAATGGACTGGTCTAGTACAATTATCTCTTATCAAAGTCTCTAAAGGTGAGAGTCTCTGAAATCTCACCAAATGGTCATGCAACCTTTTAAAACCAATGAATGGTGAATATTAAATGACTATTTTTATGAAAAATGTAAACCCAAAATTTAAGATCACCTCAGAATAACTTTTTTCTTGATTTGAAATTAAACATACGGTTTTTGGATTTTGTACTCATCTTAGACTATAACATTTGCTGTTATCACTTAAATTGTGTGACAATGTTTTATGATAAAATGTAATTTACTATTATAAGTAGGTGTAAGATTGCCTCTCAAATCAGTTTCAACAATAGACTGGCCGCATTTTCTACCACAATGTCACCTTGTGCTGCTATGGAGATAAATCTCGCTTGCTTAATGGTCTATAAAGATTAATGTCTTAAAAGCTTCAATCTGACAAAATACATGGCTTTGTAGTAATAAGTAGCGTAATTAGAGTCTTTGATAAATCTTTATGGTCTGAGTAAGGTGATTCCATATGACAGCCTATGAGGGCTTTCTCTCCTTGAGCGAAGATCCGACACAGAAATCTTATGATGGATCGCTGGCAGAATTGTACAAATAGCCACAAAACACTTTAACGACCCTTTAATATAACAAAAATAGTTCAAATTGCTGAAATAACTCAAAAAGTCAAATATCTGTAATAGAGAAGGATGATTTAAGAGACGTTTAACAAATATTTATTTTGAATGATTTTGTGCATTGTCAAAATGTCTCTTATTATTAGTTTCTATGAGTATTATACAAAATCACAAAACCATGGGATGTTTTATTCTTGATGAAATTATTTTTGTGCATCTTTTTGAAGAACGTATAAAAAGAAGACCATTACGCCGACATTAGAAATAGCTGTAGATATGCACTTTAATGCTCACAAAATTAAGACACAATATTGCCAAACACAATATCTTGTATCAAAATCCATAAGTATGTCAAGTGGTCATCCTCCATTCGTGAAATTGCCATTGAACTAAGTTTCTTGTTACATATTTTATAATTATTTACTATATATTATTTTTATATATTATTAACTATTTTGTAACACAAGTTTGATGAAAACATGAAAAAGCAACAGTATTTTTAATAGAGAACATTTGATATAAAACTAATTTACTATTGGGTAACCAAATGAGACCTGGGACCATGGGCCATTAGCCAATTACGGTCATTTTCCAGTCGAAATCTGGATGAATTGAATGTAATTTAACAGTCGTTGAAAGTGACCGATGGGGTCCACATAAAAACGTCAAAATAAAGCAATCGTTGATTGCTCAAAGTTGCTAATTTCGGCCCACAAAAGTCATTAACCTTTCAATACTAATAAGCATAAGGAGAGACTTTATACAAATGAAATTGAATAGGAATTGAACGAACAGGTCCTTAGGGAACTAAAACAGACTGATCAATCCATAGTTTATTTCGCAAAAGACAAATAGGCTGAATTTGTAATTATGACAGTTGAGTTTTGTTTTTGCAAATGAAGTACTGTCTGGTGATATGTAATAACATTATATTGTATTATTATTTCACTTGTGACTTTCTGAATTTGAACAATCATTTGTTTGTTTGTTTGTTTGTTCATTTGTTTGTTTGTTCCCTCTCAATCATCCACTCACCCAATCTCAAGGAGATTCAACTAATGACAAACCAATCAAACAAGTCCATTTTTAAATATCAAGAAACTTATTATTTCACATGTTCATAATCATAGTACATCACAATCTAGTTAAGTTCTGAATCAGCTAAATATAAATACATGTGTCTGTCATCTGTGTACAATTTGGACTCTTGATTGTGTGCCAGTTTGTCGTATTTTTAGATTTTTTCTCTGAATATTTTTTTTATCTAAAACATGACTGTAATCTTGATGTATTGTACTTCAGTGTCATCTAATTTATGTAATGTTACTTGTGCCATATCATCGCTATTCCTTATTCTGTGTTTGTATTGCTATTCCTTATTCTGTGTTTGTATTGCTATTCCTTATTCTGTGTTTGTATTGCTATTCCTTATTCTGTGTTTGTACTTTATCACCAAATGTTATTAAAACTGAGAGAGATTGAAAGAAATAAAACATCCTTGACCCATTCAAAACATAACACCATGGTAATATTTTGTTGCATGTGTCATAGACATAACTTGTAAATTGTACATTATGTAAATCAACTTGTGTTCACCATTGATTTATGAATATTAATTATCCTGGCTGTTTCTTAATTCTTTATCTTATGTCTAATTGCAAAAGTTCAATACATAAGGAAAATGGCAATGTTTGACCATTGATTTGTTTCGAAGGGAGGCTACTAAAATGTCTTAGTGTAGCATCAAATGACATGATAGTCATAAAGTGTTCTGGGAGATTCTATTTCATTGTGACTTGAGCAATTTCTATGAAAAATTGCCTATCTTAATTGTTTGGTTATTCTGTGATTGTATGGAGAGTAAAGGATAGTAGAGTGACATCCACAGATCCAGGGGCCTGTTTCTAGAAAATAAAACCAATGACACCCATATACTGCTTAAGTGACACATATACAAGTAAAATGACATCCGGGGACCTGTTTCTAGAAAATAAAACCAATGACACCCATGCACTGCTTAAGTGACACATTTATATCCAAAGAACATGTGTACGTTTTATAGATTTTATTACATAAAATATAAAATATTACAATTTAACCTTTTTGGCATGGGGAGACGGCTATCTATCGATCAGAGCTTGCGTAATTGTATACCAAAGAAACGATTACGTAATCATGAGATAATGTTACGTAATGACAGCGCAAAATCATGATTATGCAACCTTATATAATCATTAATCTTTGGGATAAGAGAGAGACCATAGAGGACCGAGTGCTGAGATAGATAGCCGCCTCCGAAATCTGGGCCACCCGATACCCTCTATTAAGGGGGCGAAGGGGTGGGGGCGGGTAAGCGTCCGACTTCCTCAAGATGCAAAGCTAAAACTGTGTAAACCAAACTACTACAGAACAGTTGGTATAGCATTAAGATAAGTTATTGTCCCGGCCTAATTGGATCTGTCAACAGACTTTTAATTGGGCTGGTAGGACAGACACCGTTCTCTGTGATATAAACCAGATTTAACAAATACTTGTTAAATCACAATTTATATCCAAAGAACATGTGTACGTTTTATAGATTTTATTACATAAAATATAACATATTACATTTTAACCTTTTTGGCATGGGGAGACGGCTATCTATCGATCAGAGCTTGCGTAATTGTATACCAAAGAAACGATTACGTAATCATGAGATAATGTTACGTAATGACAGCGCAAAATCATGATTATGCAACCTTATATAATCATTAATCTTTGGGATAAGAGCCCAAAAACAAGTATACTCGTGGACGGAGTTTAAATAAAAAGCTCTGTGAACGATAGGATACGCCGTATATATGAGTAAGATGACATCCAGGGGCCTGGTTTTGCGGAAGTGACACTCAGGGACCTGTTTCTAGAAGATAAAACAATTCACTCCCATGTATTCCGAAAGTGACACTCAGGGACCTATTTCACGAAAATAAAGCCAATCTCACCCATATACTGCACAAGTGAAATCAAGGGGCCTGTTTCTACAAAATAAAGATGAAACCAATCACAACCATATACTCCTAAAGTGATATCTAATCAATTGTTAGAATATAAATGACACCTATATACTGTAAAAGCATCCAAGGGACTGTTTAAAGAAAAGATGGCCCATTGAAAGTGAAATGATCAAGAAAATTACATGAATTACTGTACATGAGTTGTACAGGCATGCATTTTAGAAGCAGGCCAAAGTATTTATTTAATCCAAAAATCAATCTTTATTTATTTACAAACATCAAGTGATCATTCTTGGTGTTATATTACAGAATTTCATGTTTTCTCTTTGTTTACTTTAATATTGAATGATTACAAATTGAAGCTGATTTATAGATTAGGTCTTCTTTGAATTTTAATCCATATTCATGTTAAACATTATTATTTACATTTCCTTTGTTACATTTCCTCCTCGAACTTGTAGTATTGAAGTTAATGATTTTACCAGTTTTTGATTCAGAAATTTTTCAACAAAATAACAGGGTATCACTTTGTGATAGACACCAGTTCTTGTCAGTTATTGACTATAGGCCTACTACTCAAAAAAGTGAAGGGGCACTTTTTCCTTTGTGTAAAAGTGAAAGTGGTCCTTAACTTTTTTGAGCGGTATAGTATATCATAAGAGGGGTTTATTAAAACATATGTATTGTAATAATAAATCTTATTTGGAAATAAAACTTAACATATAAGTAGTTGTATTATCAGGCTTAGATATCATAAAAGCATACCTTTAAAAATTGTGCAAAGTGGGAGGCTTGACAAAGTGAGAAAGGAGGTATACATGTATTTGAAAGTGGTTTATACATGTATACACATTATAAATTGAACACTATCTAAGATGCCATCTCATATGAATCACCCCAAGTCTACTTTCTGAATGTGCTACATGTATATTTATTTTGGTTGGTGTTGTATGGCAAGCCAAATTTTGAAAATATCCAATTTTGATTTTAGTGACCAAAATAAGCCTGAAAACAATAGACAGCATGGAGTTTTCCATCTGGGAAAATTACATGGGATATGTCATTTTCAACTTCATCACATTGCTATATACAGGGTATCTCAAAAACGTATCCAAAAGTATATCAATGACACAGATAAACCAATCAAGATTTTTTAGATATTTTTTACACAGTTTTTAGTTCAGTCTTGCCTTTTTGATGTGTATCAAATGTGATGAACAATGTGGCTGTATGGATGCAGGCTGTCATCGAAACACAAGGAGGTAACATTGATTATGTGGTGTGAAAAGGTTTAACGCATCAAAAAGGCAAAAACAAGATCTTCTTGTTTAAAATGAGGAAAACAAAAACTGAGGAGATGTGCTACTAATCCATCATCAATCGATATAATCCAAATGACATTTTTATAATTTTTTGTGCCTAAATAGAAAATAACATATTGTTCTAGTGTAAATCAAGGAATACCTGATCTAACAATACTCCAAGTCCAAAATAAAACTTTCCAAAATTGTTTGTGATACACTCCTTGGTCTTTTGGTGGGTCATCTCATAATTGAAGAAATACAAATTGAGTTTATAACATTGGAGATGAACCCTAGTGTTTACAATGAGTTAACATCACACTTGGTGTGTCATTATGTTCATACATTCACTAACAGTTGTTTGTGGCATCTGTGATTCAAGTTTCAAGTCAAAAAGCAAGTCATTAGCCTCCATATAGGTATGTGTCTGTAAGTAACATTTGACGTAGTTGGGTATCGTTGGCAGGTCATGTTCAAAATCATCCAGCAAAATCGGTATAAGGACCTGGCTGGGGTGCAGCATGTATTGCCTATGGGCAACAAGGAACTCCTCCTTACACCAACCACTCTCCAGAAACCTCGGAGATAGCACCATAATTGTGCGCTGACTTTTCTCAATAGCATCTGCAATGTTATCTGCAATGGTTCTACCAACTACAAAGTCTCTGTTATGAATACAAAGTTTGTATTTGGGCTCAAGAATGGGTATTAGAACATTCCTTATCCAGCGGACATCTTCAGTGACATACCCAACAAATGCATCATATTCTTTCCCTTCAGGGTGCTCCGGATATTTCCTCTTCTTCCGTATAAGTAATATCAGTACATTTTTGAAGCAGTATAGATTCACCAAGATGATTGTAATTAAGAATGTGACGCTCACTGGAATACCAGCTACAATCCCCCAGTTTACGTTACACAATTCCTCATTAAAGTCATGTTCCATGATTGGTGCAGATCCACTGGTGCATGTTATGTGTCTTGATTTATGTAAGACACGTCGTTCCGATAAGCTCCAAAGCCATGCTTTAATCCAGAATGTGTCACATGTGCACTCCAATGGATTCTGATGTAGAGAGATGTTCTTTAAACCCACAAAGGGAAACACAGAAATCTTGTTTGGCAGGTATCGCAGTTTATTGTTGTTCAAAACAAGTTGCTCCATACTTGTTAGATTTTCTAAAGCTGAACTGGCAATGTATTTTATTTGGTTGTTTTGGGCATCAAGCGTAGCTAAATCGTTGAAGTACGGCCTGTAATGCAATTCTTCAATGTTATTATCACTAACATCAAGGTCAATCTTTTCGTTAATTCCATACTGAACACTGGGAAGTTTTTGGGGAAGATCTGCCAATTGTTTGTTCTTACATTCAATAGCGAGACGTTTCACATTGGGTTTTCGAATACATGTACAATTCACAGGGCAGTTTTCCGTTATATTGCACACTAGGTCGTCTTCATGTACTTCAATTAACCTATGGTCTTGTAGCTGAGGGGGGTACATACATATCAAGGATCTGCTTTCCCAAATTGTGAACTCATATAGTTGACCAGGCAAAGACATAACTGATTTGACAATCTTTTGAGTGTCATACATATTACAATCGCATATGATTGGATTCTTTGACAAATCAATGTATAAAAATCCATCAATGGCGAACAATGCAAATAAATCACTTAATTTGGTAAGATGGAATGGTTGCACAAGTTCCAGATTTATGTATTTGAATCGGTTATATCTGAGATCCATATAAAACCGATATGCCTTTGTGAAATCAAAATGAAAACTGCTGCTTCTGAATGATTCCAGATTATTATGCGAGAAATCAAATTGTTTCTCAATTGGAGTTTTCTGCCGATCTTGGCCCAATAGTTGAAACGTATAAGTGTCCATTGTTGTTAAGTTATTGTAGCTTGCATTTAAATACAGTAGGTTATAATTATCCAAAAATGCATTTCTTTGAATATCAGCCACATTATTTTCACTTAGATCGATGCGAGTAATGTCTTTAAGTTTGGCAAACAGTCCTGTCGGAATAATCCGAAGTTTGTTATTGTTCAGATTGAGACGCTGCAAAGTGGAACAGTTATCAAAGATGTCACTCTCGAGTGCCGTCAAGTTATTGTGCGACAAATCAATTGAATTCAAATTTTTAAAGTCACAAATCTGGCGAGGAATACTCTCCAAGTTGTTATTGCTCAGATTGAGACGCTGCAAAGTGGAACAGTTATCAAAGATGTCACTCTCGAGTGCCGTCAAGTTATTGTGCGACAAATCGATTGAAATCAAATTTTCAAAGTCACAAATCTGGCGAGGAATACCCTCCAAGTTGTTATTGCTCAGATCCAGTTTTTTTATCAAATGTTTCTTTTTTTTGTTTTCTATTGGTGTTATGATGTCATCACTGTTTCTGTCACTGCAAATTATTTTTACTTCTTCATGATTGTAAGACTGTCTCAAAACACATTCTGACTGTACTATCTCGACCATGGTCATTATCAACAAAATATACACAAAGAAATCCATGTTGATAAATTGCATTCTGTCTGCCACCTTATTTCTGAATAGTTGACTCATATGAAAAACAACTTTAAATTAAGAATGTTTACTCAAAATGTATAATCTACAGTATGTAGCCTTTATTTAGAGTTGTACTTTTTATAGCAAATGTGACACTTGACACCTTTGACACCTGACACCTCTTCCCCAGAATGTGCAATGTTACATGTTTTTAAACTTCCTTATAGAGCTAGAGGTCTAACACAAAAGATTAAGTTGACCCTTAAGAATGTTTTTGGAAATATTGTGAAGTATCTCATGTTTTTAGCATACCACTTGTTGATTCCAGGAAAACCACTTATTGTTGGATTTTCCTCAATTACCTACACATGTTAGAGGGTACCAAGAACTGATTAACTTTGGCCGACTTTGGTTTCTGGCACCCAAGTTTTTCATCATTGTCATCATAAAATTTGCCATTTGCAATTTGCCATTTGCCATTTTTGAGGTTTCCATTATAAATCTTGCTATCATATTCCTAGAAATAACTGCCTGATGTTCTTTAAATTTGAGCCTTGTTGGTGATATAATGTGGTTCATCCTTATTCATCAAAGCATTACTTTTTACAAGGCTATCCTTTATTTATTTAGTTGTCAGGTATCTACCTGTGGAGCTGTATTGTTGTACAATGTACTGAAAATCATTAAGTGAAATATTCCATTTCAACTTTCACTATTTTTCATTCATTACATACATGTACTTGTATTATAAGTTACGTTCCTATAGGCTTTGACACCCCAAAGTATGAATACTCATAGTTATTAATTTAAAAACAATAAAAACTAGAAGTACAATTATGTTTTGTTTATGTACTCATCAAGATTCGGGAGGTCAGGGTAACCTTGTCAGCATGCCAAAATCTAACAGTCTAGTTTCTTGTTTACTATGTAGGAAAGTGCAAAACAAAAACTCATTTAAATGTCATAACTGGTTATGATTCATTAAATCAATCCTAATCACTTATTTCTATTTCCTCAAATGTGCTTTATCACAAAATTTATATATCCTTAAGCATAACACCCATTGAATATTTGAATATGCTCTTCAGTATAATGCACTTGAGAAGTATTTCCTGATGGCTTATCATCTGCCATTACATGGATTTTATCACCATTTAAAGGAAGTGCCCTTAAATCTTTTTGAGGCATATGACATCTTAACTTTTTGAAAGAGACTTCACATTCCACCGCCATAATAACATTACCGCTGACTGAATAATAAATAGCCCAATTTTAGGTATTGTACACTGGCGGATGCAAAAGCTAACAAGGGGGCACATTTCAAGTCAAGGAAGAAAATTTCTGTGTTTGCCCAGAAAAAAAATTTTTGGCCCCTGAAACCAAAGATTTGGCTCAAATTTTGAAAATTGAAGGCCCATTTTTGATAATTTGGCTGAAAAAAGGCCGAAAAAGACCTAGTTATGCTCAAAAAGCCCCATTTTTGAGGCCCTACAGATTTTTCGGGTCCAAATATATTTGGGGCCCTAAATGTTTCAAAGAAATGACTTCTTTTTCCTCTTCCAATGAATTTTTATTTCACTTGAAGAGTTTAATATTCAAATTCTTATTAGAGTTTGCAAAAGTAAAACATTGTTTTCAAACTTCAATTTTGTCGAAGTACATTTCTTTGCACAGTTAATTTTTTATAACTGTGCAACTCTTTTGGGACTTTTAAAATCAATGTCAAGCACATATCTGACAAGAAACGCAACAAATTGAGATTAGCTGGCCAACTATTCGCTTTATGAGAATTTACTATTAGTTTCAGCGATTATGAGATTGATTTTTAGAATGTAAGCTGGTTAAGAAAAATCATTTTCAATCTTATCTAACGTGTTTGTTATCTGTGTTTTACAGCTCAGGTGTTTGGTGGCTTTTTTCTCCGAAGTCCAACACCAACAACAGATCGGCCGCTATCTCAACAAATGGAACGTCAACTCAAGTCCCAGATGGCCAATGAAGACCGACGGAAATCTGCCTTTATGTACCACTTTCTTACAAATGATTACGATGAACAGTAGGATTGAATTATAGAGAGCAAACTGTGCCAATTGAGATTTCTTAAGCTAAATACAAATGAGGATTGAGTTGCAGTCAAATCATAAGCTTTTATCTGTAATGGATTAGATTGTGCCAAAGTGCAATGATTGGTACTTGCGGAATTTAATTTCGAACCCATAATTTCTATGATTCGAATCATCTTTAACCTTGTCATTCCGCAAAGTGTGTGATTTATTGGACACAGCATAACCTTATGTGAAGCGCTTGGGTATACAAACCGGTTTATTATTGACAGATTAAAGATCATTGGAAGATGAACCAATACTGGGAAATACACCGATAAATGTGGTCAATAAAACAACCGTTAAATCCATGTTAATGATATTGGCAAAAGTAGATGCTTAATTTTGAAAATTAGCAAGCGAACACTAATTGATCAGAGGGGTGTCTAGAATATTGATATGAAATCTGTGGCTGAATTGTGATTGTTTGTCATAATTAAATCACAGTTGCTGAGGATATAGCAACATTGTGAGTTAAATTTGCAATTTATGGATTTATGAAAACCATTTAAGGTAAGTAGATACACATGTATATTTTCAATTGAAACTTGTGTCAAAGATGGAAAAACAGTTCATATTTCATTCATGCCTTATGGGAGGTTACCTCCCTTTCCATCTTTAATACAGTCCATGGACAAATACATGTAGTAACATACATGTTAATTGTTGGAACATTTTATAAAATCAAAAATCACAATGGTACATCTTACACAGCAGGATTGAATTGCTTTTATGAAGCATTTTGGCAAAAAACTTTGTGATGGAGGATTTTTGTCAAAGTGCTCCAAAAGCAAGAAAGTGCTTGATGTGACAATTTCATTGTGACATCACATGGCTTTACAAAACAACAAATTCACATAGGGTCACACTTCGCTCAATTTAAACAACCTGAAATAGTATTTAAAGGCCTAACTTTTTCAATTATCATCAATATTTAGTTATTTATAAAAGTATTCATATTACTTAACTTAGGTATGTAAAGAGAATGCCAAGTATCTGTTTTAAACTGTTTGTTTAACAAAACATATTTGTTTTAATTTAAAGAAAAATGTAGAAATGTTTTCGTGCTTAATCATAATTATAGGATTCCTCAAAACCAATGCACAAATATATTTATAAATTGAAGTGTACCTATTTTAACAAATTGCTATTTATTACCTATATATTTACAGTATACATAGCTGTATAAAATATAAACTTGAACAAAAGTATAGGAAGATATATTTATTGTTGTCTTATTTGTGGTGGTGGTGGTTTGGAGTGGTTAAATGCCTTTTTGACTCTATTATGTCATAACAGTGACCATTCTCCAAAGCAGGTGTCCAGAATCAGTACCTAGTTCTTCCCGGGATTGGGAAAGAGAAAGAAGATATTCTGGACCTTGGGAACCTGCGATGGGAGAATGAATAGTGACATGACTTTACATTGCTTGAATCATCTAATCTATAGTTTGTTGGATGTATCTGGTTTTCCCTGACTGATTTGAAAAGCTGAAATGTTAACTATATTCTACTAGTTCATACTACTTCATTGTTCTTTCTCTTGATGCAATTAATGCTGGAAGATACCTAGACTAATAGTGTAAAGATTCTTTGGTTAAAATAAAATGGCTGATACATTTTTGGTAAAACAGAAACAACTGAAAAATATTAAAAATCAAATGATTTAGATGGATTATATATTTTGGAAAATTATCCTATTTTAGAGTAAAATCGTACATGTGGAATTACATGAAGAATTGGTTACAGACAGGTAAAATGTGGTAATTCAAATTAGTGAACTTTACATTATTTCAAATTGAATGATCTAGTACAGTCTTTTACTACAAATAGGGAGAACACTATAGTATTTGTAATTCAGAATGCATAGTTCAGTCGTATGGCTAGACTAATAAGGTTGATTTCGTCAGTAAATCCAAACCATGCAATCACTGGCACATTCAATCAAAGAAACATTTAATTTCAGTCAAATGTCAATTCTGTTTTGACTCGTTCCGTTGCATACTATGGTCGAATGTAGGGAAAGTAGTTGTATGAAAAGTGAATTGTATGGGACAAATCTGATTATTTCATGCATTGTATGTGACTAGTAGTGGATACATTGATTGTATGGGGCAAATCAAACATTTTATGGGACAAGTTGTGTGTAGATTGATTGTTTTGGGTAAATCAATGCACATGTACATATATTGTATAGAAAAAGTAGTAGGTACATCCATTGTATGGGCAAGTGAGAATTTATCATGTTAAAAATGTATAAGAAAATTTTTCATGAAGCCTCACATTGGTAGATGAGAGTATACAAATTGTAAAATATACAGGGGATATGTATTGGAATATTGGAAATTATAGGCTTTGAAACCACCATGTTTTGAAATGGTGATAGAAAATCAAGTACTCATTTATTTATGGTCCAAACTGTACATGAAATGTTGCATTGTGGGGGATGAAGAATGAGGGTAACATGTCACTGACTTTATGGGGCAGAAAATCCCCTTCAGGAATAAATGTGTTCTGTTTTGATCAAACTTTATCAGGGCAACACAAAATATTTTCTATGGGCTACATGATGTGAAAAAGTCACTGTACCCCAAAGGAATCCTCTTCAAAGAGAGTGCTTTACACCTTAAGTCCTAAAGATTAAGATGTGAGACGTTACGAATGTAATTGAGTGTTTAAAGGATCTGGTGGTAGAGATTGCAATTATATGCGCTGCTAGGGGATGTTTCAGTGCCTTTCATGTCTGATTTCATTTTGATATTTGGACTCAATATTTAAGGTTACTAATGAAGAGCAAAGTCCATTTAGACCCAAAGGACCATTGATTTGTTCCATCAGTAGTTGGTAGGTGTTTGTTCAGTAGGTTTGCTGCATTGTCTGAAAGATGCAAACTTCTGCTGCATGGTCTGAAAAATGCAAGATATTGCATTTTGTTTGAAATATGCAAGATTTTGCCGAATTGTCTGAAAGATGCAAGCTTTTGCTGCATGGTCTGAAAGATGCAAAATTTTACTGCATGGTCTGAAAGATACATGATTTTATTGCATGGTCTGAAAGATGCAAAATTTTACTGCATGGTCTGAAAGATGCAAAATTTTGCTGCATGGTCTGAAAGGTGCTTGATTTTGCTGCATGGTCTGAAAGATGCAAGATTTTGCTGCATGGTCTGAAAGATGCAAGATTTTGCTGCATGGTCTGAAAGATGCAAGTTTTTACTGCATGGTCTGAAAGATGCAAAATTTTACTGCATGGTCTGAAAGATGCAAGATTTTGCTGCATGGTCTGAAAGATGCAAAATTTTACTACATGGTCTGAAAGATGCTTGATTTTGCTGCATGGTCTGAAAGATGCAAGATTTTGCTGCATGGTGAGAAATTTGCAAGATTTTGCTGCATGGTCTGAAAGATACATTGTTTTTACTGTATTTACACTCCCCTCCATAAGTTTGGCAACCTTTTTCCCCCATTGAACTACGTGTTAAAGCCACTTTACCTTTGAATTTTTATTTACTTAACCTGCGATGAAAATACTTATACTATTGATGGAAACGTAATTTGACTTTAATTCCAATACCTCCAAATTTTCTCAATTTTTTTCCTCTATTACAATAGCTCGAAAATTGATGATGAATTTTTGAAAATCGACATTCCCATGTTAACCAATGGGAAATGGTAGGTTTGCCGCAAGTCATATGACAGAATATCCATCCATCCGAGTCCTTGCAAAAAATACGAGTTAGGCAGGTAATTGAATTTGCTAACTTTATTTAACAAAAAACTGATATGTTTCTTCAGGTTCAACAAAGTTATAGGGCTTTAAAGTCAAAATTGTTTTTCAAAAAACCTCTCCCATTGAAATAACACAGGAGGCGAAAAATAATTTTTAAAAATGACTTTGAAGCGCTGTAACTTTAATATTCATCAAATAAACTAAACACTTAGTGTTCAAAAAGGTAAGACAATTCAATTTTCTATATGAAAATATTTTTTGCTGAATCTTTTACTGAAAAGATATTCTGATTTCTGATTTGCCCTGAACCCTCCATTTCCTATTGGATTACATGAGAATGACGATTTTCAAAAATTCATCAAATTTATCATCAATTTTCGACCTATTGTAATTGAGGAAAAAAATTGAGGAAATTTGGAGGTATTGGAAATAAAGTCAAGTTACGTTTCCATCAATATCATAAGTTATTTCATCGCCGGTTAAGTAAATAAAAATTCAAACGTAAAGTGGCTTTAACACGTAGTTCAATAGAGAAAAAAGGTTGCCAAACTTATGGAGGGGAGTGTACATGGGATAGTTCGTAATATCAGTTTCATGATTTTTGGAAAATATGGGTTGTACATGGATATAAGAGCTCAGCTGTTTAGTTTAATATGTTAAGGTTAAACTATTCTACCATCCTGTGATATAGATCTTTTATTTTAGACACCTAGGGAAAAAACTTCTAAATTGAGAAAGAATTCACTGCCAAACCCCATTATAATCACCTAAGGGCAAAATAAATACTCTACAACACTTAGAAGATCAAGGAGGATTGGTCCCCTGATTTCTATCAAATTATTGACCAAAAGAGCTCAAATTTATTGTAGTATCTTTCCAGACAATAAAGTACTTTTGAAACATTCATATATCGAATACCATTGGGATTATCTTTCTGTAGTGTGAAAATAATTTGTTGAGTACTAAGATCATAATTCACAAAGGAAAAGTTAAACTAAGTAAAACACACAATGAATTTCCCCGATATGTACTCCTGAGTTTTAAGAAAATAGTGTAGACTGTAGATATGTGGAATTTCCAAATCAATATTAACCAGCAATAAAATTAACTTCACTTTCACAACTGTTGACAATTCAGGGGTGTCTCCAGGATCTTTTCGAGGGGTGTGCAATACTACATCTAAAAAACTCCCATCATCATAGCTTGCACTTGAAGTTGGCTCAAAAAGGGGAAGGTTGGTGGTGCGGTTACCCCCAATGCACCCGTCCCATTCTGGGACACATATGCAGTTGAATACCATCACTTTTAAGCACTACAAGAGTGTCTCTACTTGTCTCTTCTAGCTGTATCCAGTTTGTGCTCGAAAATACCATTCATTATGACCATTTATAGCAAATGATCAAATAGCGTGTTTCAGGCACCCATTTTAATGCTTGTCTCCTTATATGTTCTATTTTATGCCATACTTACAGGTGTGTTGTGTCTTTAAAGGTTAATGGTAATTGATAATGGAATTTCTTTGAGTGTATTCTACCTGGGGAAATGCATGTAGAGAGGATACTCAATGTTTCTGGGACTAAAATAGCTTATGTTTAAGTGCTTGGGGGAGATGAGGGAAGAGATGAAAAATTGCTTTTCAGAAAGTGTAGTAGTCTGGGGTTAAAAATTGAATGGAAAATTAATTTAGGCTTGGATTTGACAAAGAAATATCTTGTCTGGTGTTTCTTAGAATTCTGATAAAATCTTGGTGAGAAAAATATGTTTTCTTGTCTTTCTGTTCAAAAAGCATAATAAGCAACATTTCAGAACAAAATTAATGAATGTCCTTCTTAATAATAGAATCAACCATGGACACGATTACAAAAAAGTTTTGAATGGTGTTTGGCATGCAGTTGTCTAGGTTCAGTGTATGGTGGTTGATGTTTGGTGTTAGGCATTCAGTATCTGTAACAAATGACAGGTGGTGACATTTTGCATGTTAATGCCTTGTATTTTCTCAGTTTGTATATGTGAATGATAACATGACTAGTATATGCTATCTTTACCTTAGAACATTGCTATCATTTCTTAAACTGTCTTAATTCCTATAAGATCAATAGAGATTCAAGAACGATAAGTTGAAGCAAATTGCCAGCGGTACTAAACAACCCCAATCTTAGCTACCATGGGACAACCCTTGCAATACAATGGTTTGTGAGATTATTAAACATATCTCTGATAGCAAAGTTAACTCTACTTTGTGTTATATTGGAGTGATCATATTACAACATAAAATTGCAAAATTGTAGTGAATGGAAAGTTATCAACCATATATGGAATGAATTATGTGTAGTCGGTAGTGTACTTGAAAATAACATGGGACTCCAATTAGGAAGTTATTAAAATTTCTTAACATACGGAACCTTATAATGAATAATAACAGCCTGAAGAAACTAACAATTTTCATACAAAGATAAACTTATTTTGACATCTCACTTTTACTTGTATGCAATATTTATTTTTATAACAGGTCCTTGGGGACCCATGGCTGAATATAATGTTTATACTAGATTCTTCACCTGAAGATATTATCTCAACTTTGCTTTGTTGGCACCAACTGGCAAAGTAGTACTTGATATGTTATGCATATTCTGCACAATAACTTTATAAAGTTCTTTAGAAATTGCCTTATATTTCATCTTTACATACTCTGTATTCACTTCATTTTTCCATAGGGAGCTGGACGAACAAATACGTCTATTTGCAATACAATTTAGAATACAGACTGTACATGTTTTTACCCCGTTTTTTGTTTATTCCTCTACTTCTTTTTTCTATATCTCTCCTTTTTTGCACTCTTTTTTTTATATTTTCCTCAAACCCTTTATTTCATATTTTGAAACGTGACTGTCCCGGGGATATTACCATATTAGGTAAAAAATACACACTGGATCAATCACTGCCGCAACAAGCCACTCTCCATGATGGAATTTAATGCCTCAGTGCTTTAATAATAACCCACTTGCTTCATTCAGATAGCTAATTTTTCCTTGATGGACGTTGAGCTGGTTTTAATTGTTCGTTCAATTCAGCGCTAATCAGAAGTATTATTCATGCTTTGGGAGTAATCACACTAGCGCATCTTGTATTTTTCATGTCTCTGAACTTCCTTTTGATAATTACGATGAAAGAGATGCAAATTACTACATGCTCGAAGAATCTTGGATCTTTTTGTTTGTTTTTTACAGTTACTTGAAAATAAAGAAATGAATTCTATTCGAAGAGTTAGTGTTGAAAAAGCCATTATACTTCATCAGGACTTGTATTTTTGACACTTCACATTATTGTCAGGGAACCTCAAAGATTTATTGTAAGGGAACCATTCTTTTTTCAAGTTTCTTTTTTTATTTATTTGTTAAGTCATTTTGCATTTCAAAAGCAAGAAAATCCATGTTTTACAGTTGCCTTGCAATAAAAATCAAACCGTGATCTTACTCCCCTTGCTGTGCTGTTTTGGAAATGTCTCATATTTTGCCTCATGAAGAACCCAGGGAGGATGGGGGGGGGGTTCTGTTTCTATGATTAGTTTTGTTAAGTGTTAAAATAACCTTGAAGGATGCCATTGTTGAATAAATAGGATATTTCATTCAATATCCACAATCCAATATGTCTTTTATTCCTAAAACAAGATATTTCCCCTTGGATCTAATAAAGACCATATTTAATCCCTCTAATGACTGATATAACCCAATCCCCTAATCTGAATCCAAGAAACCCCTTTATCATAATAGGGTTTAACAGTTTATCTCTATCCCAATGGGGCCTCTTGTTTATGCTATGTATTATATTGTCAACATTATTAGGATCACTCATTTCGAAGGTTAACATAGTAGTATCGCATCCTCTCTTACACGGTTGTCTCATGCAATGAGAATCCAAGTAAGGGTACTATACTTCTACTGAATTCAGCGCTCCTTATTTTGGCGGATTTACTGTATGAACATTTGGCGATTACTTAATTTGACGGAATAGCAATATTGAAATGTGTATATTTATAGTGTATATTTATGATTGAAATATTTAATATTGAATTTGGTGGCTACTTAATTTGGCAGACCTTAACAATTAAAATGGCTGCCAAATTAAGTAGAAGTATGGTAGATGGTAGCAGCTATCTCATGGCTGTTTCCTTATATACGATGTGTGTTTCAAAAGTTTGTTTCTTTTTGCTCGAGACATGAATTGTGGGTGGTTCTTACCGAAACTTTTAAAATACACCATATATGCAATTATCTTCATTTGACTTAAGGTTTTTGTTCCTAACTTGAAAATTATTATTTTGTTTTTACTATTTTATTACATGGTACCTAAAGTAATAATATTATTGTTAATTGTGCTTTAAATAATACAATTAATAATGAAACAATGTGTGATCTCATTGAAGACTTTTTGATTTATTTTATTTGTCATTTTGAATTGTGAGTATCAATTTATTGTTGCCATAGTAACCTGTACATGTATGTATATATTACGTGTATTGCTTGCACAATTTGTTTTAAGTATGTGTTAAGAACTGTCATGTGAGTTAGTTCACAAGTGAGCAAAAAAGTACATGTACATAAAAAAAAGTAAAGAAAAATGAATGTAAAAAATCTTCTAATTTTATCATCAAGGTGCACTAACCTAAGTGTCGGCTATGGGATTTATCTACTATTTCATGACCAACTCATTTATATATGAATGGAATAGTGTCAGGTTCTATTCATATTTAAATGAGTTACCCATAAAATAGTAAGTTAATCCAGTAGCCGATAGGCGTTAGTTGCATTCAGGAATACAAGCTTAGATTCACACATGTGATGTATCATGTATGAATAGGTAATAGCAATTGCTGGTGTCTAATAATGATGACCATAAAACCTTATAGTGGTGGAAAAGTGTTGTAATATGAATAATCCTGTGTTATTAAACGAGAAATATTGTCTGCAGGGACAACTTGGCATGTTTGAAACCATTAGTACCATTTCTTCTGAATCCATAGAGTCTTCTTAATATATAGTGTATTTCTTCATAATGCAAAAGGAAATATATGACAACAGTGAAACCTGTATATCCGAACACCTCTCTTATCTGAACACCTCCCAATGTGAACACTTTTTCTCAGTCCCAATTTTTTTGTCTTCCATAGGCCATGGACTCACATATTAAAAAACTTGAAATATGAACATCTGCCAATCCAAACACTTTTGGCTGTTCACAGAGACATTTGGATTAGACAGATTTTACTGTATATTGTGAACATATTATGCGGACTACATACACTGAATCATCTCTTAAATAAGACTCAGGATTTGTGGAACACTTAGAAGAATCATTATTGGTATAGCTGTTATACACCAGGGTTACATTGCTTCTTCACAAAACCTTTTGAAAAAAACCATCAAATGGATGATCTTGTGCCTGCATAACACCTCAAAAATCCTTCATTACGAAGCATTTCGTTAAAAATGCTTCTCAATGAAGCAATTAAACCCGCTTTGTAACTCTAACCATTCTCTTTGATGTAAATTGTAATATCTTTGATCGCAAAATTGAAATATTAAAATGTCCAATAATTTAGTTGTTATGGTAATGGACCATAAAACATTATAACTTCTAGATTATTACACATTAAATCTTATTTCATTGCTAAAATTGTTTTTTATATTGTTCCACCCTCAGAGGTTATTTTTTATATTGCCAATATTGGATTTTATATTGTTTAAAATGTTTTTTTCATCAATCGTACCAGTATAAAGTTTTGATTAAGATCATAATTCAAGTTTTAAGTTCTGGCTCTGTGACTTATGACTCAGAACTTTGTATATTTTATTGACTTTTAGGATATCATGACATGACAAAATAGTACAACATATATTTATCAAAGTATGGGCACTACATTACATTGAATATTCAACATTTAAATATTGAAATTATATCTGTCAAACGACGGTATACTAATTCTATACTTAATAATTTATACTAAAATTTAACAATTAAACATTTCACTACCACTGGGCATGGACATAACAATTTAAGTGGAATTGGAGAGAGTCTGTGGTAGTCTCAAATTTAAAAAAAAAGCAAAATTTAATTAAGACATCAAAATGTGTTTGAAATCATACCTAACCTTTACATAGCTTGGGAAAACTAGTTTTAAAAAATCAAAGTTGTGATCCCTTCAAAGCCCTTACACACATGATAACTGTAACATAACAGTTGTTACAATAGTATGTAATTACAAAGTATGACATCTGCATATAGTAATGTCAATCAATTCAGTCAATTATATTTTATTGGATTAGGGGGAGGGGGTTAACTTCATTAAACAGCCTCCCGCAGAGAAACTTAACATTTCTTTGTTATTATTACTAATGAGTAGCTGATTCTAGTATGACATGATAAATTTCTTTTTGTAAAATAAATGGGATAATTATCTGGTGGTTCCCAGTAATTTACAAAGTGAATGGTAAATTATGCAATTTCTACTATAGGAAATGTATGTTCTGGTAGAGATTTATTTCGTTGAGTCAAAGGGGTGGGAGACTGTTTGCTTGAGTAAATCTAATCGCAGACTAAGGGTATTATTGTTTAATATAGTAAAAGCATGTAATGCCTAATTGGAAAATAATTCTTTGTGGAAAATAGTATGTTAAATGTGGCTACAGGCTTAAGAGTGAGCTCCATTCTGCAGGTTATGCCTGTATTTTGAAAGATACAAAAATTTGAAAAAATTTAGATAAATCAGTTGGTTGCAGGCACTTTTACAATATGATGCTGAGAAATTTTTAATCCCACCTGTGAAATTCTAGAATATAACGAGAGAATAATTCACAATTTTTGCACAATTAACTGATTAAAGAGCTCAAGTTCGCTCCATTAGCATTTTGTGTAAATAAGTTAGCTCAATGACTGGAAAATAACAAAGAAGTGGTAGAGACTGCAGTCCGTCGCAATAATATATAGAGGTAAAATATAATATCTGATAGAACCAGTGTCAATTAGTCGCTAGAGTAGGTTGCGGTGGTCTCAGAAATTTTATATTTACTAAATGCAGGTTTGTGTATTGGAACATGTTGTTATAGTTCCCTACCTTACCTTTTCTGTGAACAATGTTCAGTGTTTGGTGGTTGGTGTTTGGTTGTTGGCATCTGATGTTTGGCACCTGTAACAAATCGCAGGTTGTTACATTTTGTGTGAAAATGCCTTGTTTAGGATTAAAATAATATATTTTTATTATTTATTTCAGATTTGAAAAGAGTGATTCCTGCCGCAACAAACAAGACAAATCAGCACATAAACTGAATAGAACACAAACATAGCCTAAAATACGCCGCAGCTCATCTCTGCGTCTGGTGCACAAGAAATAGCATCAAAAATTCCATTTCTCAAAGTTATGACTTAATGGAGCAGATAGTGATATAGGAGTACCCAGTGAGAAATAAATGTCTTTAATGTGCTATAGTGATACTGAAAGGATGTAATTACAAATGACATGTTGGAGAGAAAATCCGGAATTTATTACTCCATTGAAAAATAAAGATTACACTCAGCTGTAAAGTACGTTAAGCGCTACTTTGAGGTAAGAAATCACAAACTTGTCTTTCTCGTGTCTCATCTTTCTTGTCTTGTCTATAGTTTAGTTGTGTCTGCTCCTTTTAGGGCTCTCTAATGATTTTGTATGACAAGATTGTCAAAAGCATATGACAAGATTGTCAAAAGAAGGTTATGACAAGATTTCATCAATGAGGCATAATATGCTTTATCTGTGAGGTAAAGGAGAGATTTTAATTGATTTTAAGTCACCGCCAGAAGTGGTAACATACTGTTCATAGTCTCCAACTTTTTTGTTGATGGTGCTTGGTGGTCATTGCAAGAAATGGTGTTCAGCAGTTGGCATATATAACAAATGGCAGGTGGTGACATTTTGCATGTAAATGCCCTGTTACTTCTTAACTATAGTTGCAATTTGCAGCATTTGTATTTCCATGAATGTTGTGAGGGTTGTTTGTTTGCTTACATCAGAGTTTCTCTCCTATTTTTGTTAAACAAGTTCTAGGATAGGTGTCTAGCTAGGTACACTCTACTCTAGGTGCACAGATACACCTGTAGCCATAGGGTCTTTATAATCAATCTGACATAGATCTTGACCCCGATGTAAGTCAAAACTCCAAATAAAACTCATCAGATCCAGTGCGTCACCATCTAATTCTACCCTAGACACCTAGTGCAGATTTCAATGTACAATTTGCTTATCATCAACTCAACGTAAAAGTTATGTTTATTACCTTAGTAAAAATAGTTGACAATTATATAGCCTTTTGATACAATCTAACCACCATACTAAACGAAGGCAATTAAATTAGAAATTGTGCTACCATAACAGACAAAGCCTAATGACGTTATTCACCTTCACAAAAAAATGATGTTACACTTTACAAATTATCTAATAAGACTAATGAAAATTCCAATATGATACTTTATAATAAATAAATTGGAATGTTATAAAAACCCTTCGACCTGCACCTTCGACCTACAGCTTCGACCTACAGGGTGCCCAAAAAGCGGGCCAAAAAGAAAGTTACAAAAACCCTTCGACCTGCACCTTTGACTTTTCTTATGAAAATTGTCAAAAAATATTTCTTTGAAAAACGATTAAGTCCAACTTCACATAATTTGTGAAATTGAACGGAGCTCTGTCCTCGTCGAAAGCTAGCTGTCATCTCTTGAGTTTACATCGGCGAAATACTTTATAGGCCTGGTGACGTCATCACTTTTCGGATAAGATTTCGAAGTTAAATAACAAGTTATTGACGCCATATCCCGTTTTAATATTGATCACACAACAAGACTATAATTGGAACTCAATAAATAGAACAGTAATTGATTACTACTTACTCTAATTTTACTTCGATTCAATCGAAACTAAGCCAGGAATTAAGTTCTAAAAAGGGAACCTTCCATTTAAACTACCCGATTGACTGCCCGATCAACATCAACAGAATCTTAATTTGATAACATGAAAATGCTATTTCACCCCTGTAACTAAACCTAGAGTACTGCAAACGTTGCTACAATTTAAGATCTTAATGATCTCACCTATGAACCACAAATCAGTGACTCTTGCGTGGTCTGAGATCGGCAAAAATAGCTTCTATAATATTTTCTTTTTGGACACCCTGTAAGTCGAAGGTGAAGGTCGAAGGTGCAGGTCGAAGGTCAAAGGGTTTTTATAATATTCCAAATAAATTCAGAGGTAAAAGGAAATTGTGTGTGATCATGCTCAACACAGTGCCAACATTTTTACTCAGCATGCTTATTTAATACAATTATTTTTATCATAATACATACCAAACATCTCAACTCGTCAATATGCATAACTGCATTTTTCACTTAAAGATAGCGCTGCTACAGAGTGCTTTCTGGAACTATATTCCAATTAGTTTTAAACATTGATTTTTTTGTCCAAAAAGGAATGACATGATATAATGTATGAGGCCTGATTCAAACATAGTTGACAGGCAAGCAGTATGGTTGGTTTAGATCTTTGGTTTGAATCTTAATTTACTGGCTGATTTCTATTTATTATGTTTTTAGGATAGCCAAAGCATACAGGGATGTGATAAAAAATTTGCAGCCAAGCCGATAGTGAAAGTTCTGAAGATTTGAAAGGTATGTGATGTTCATTTCTAAAATTGTCTGTTTTTGATTGAATATAATAAGAAATTATTTATTTTTTATTTCTTTCAAGATAAAGATTCTTTGAGGTAGGGGTTAGTAGAGAAATGTCTCTTCAAGTGAATCTCTCATTATGACAAACAACTAAACCCCTAAAAAACTAAATGAAGAGATTGACCATTTTGTGTTCAATAACTAAATGAAGCAATTGACCATTTTGTGTTCAATAACTAAATGAAGCGATTGACCATTTTGTGTTCAATAACTAAATGAAGTGATTGACCATTTTGTGTTCAATAACTAAATGAAGCTATTGACCATTTTGTGTTCAATAACTAAATGAAGCGATTGACCATTTTGTGTTCAATAACTAAATGAAGCGATTGACCATTTTGTGTTCAATAACTAAATGAAGTGATTGACCATTTTGTGTTCAATAACTAAATGAAGCGATTGACCATTTGTGTTCAATAACCGACAGTAACCAGTTTCCTAACAAATCCTTTGCTTTAACATTTAAGGAAAACACAGTTTTGGATGGGTTTACTTGATTCTAATTGATTTTAAAAAGGTTGAACATGTAAGTACAAGTACCATAACGAATCAACCAAAACATAATAAAGTCACAGATAGAAAAGAATCATCATAATTAAGGAAACAAATCTCCAGCATATCAAACAATAATGTAGCATACAAAGAAACAGTGGCTAACACCAAACAATAATGTAGCATTCAAAGAAACAGTGGCTAACACCAAACAATAATGTAGCATTCAAAGAAACAGTGCCTAACACCAAACAATAATGTAGCATTCAAAGAAACAGTCCTAACACCAAACAATAATGTAGCACTCAAAGAAACAGTGCCTAACACCAAACAATAATGTAGCACTCAAAGAAACAGTGCCTAACACCAAACAATAATGTAACATATAAAGAAACAGTGCCTAACACCAAACAATAATGTAGCACTCAAAGAAACAGTGCCTAACACCAAACAATAATGTAACATATAAAGAAACAGTGCCTAACACCAAACAATAATGTAGCACTCAAAGAAACAGTTCCTAACACCAAACAATAATGTAGCACTCAAAGAAACAGTGCCTTACACCAAACAATAATGTAGCACTCAAAGAAACAGTGCCTAACACCAAACAAGAATGTAGCACTCAAAGAAACAGTGCCTAACACCACATTTCCTCACCACTAAGACATCATTATCAGAGATCCTCTAAGGACTGAGTCAGTATTTAAAATTAGGTGAGGCAAAAATGAATAGATGAGGCAAATTGAGGCTAAATGAGGTATATTACAATTTTAGTGAGATCTGTTGCCTCGACTGCCTCATGCCTCAGCTACATCAATGTCCTCAATGAGTTTATGGCCTTGATGTAGTTAGTCAAAACATTAGCCCATCTCCATTTTTTTCCAAAAACATTTTTTTTAGATATTTGTATTTAATGATGCAAATATGGCTCTCAGATATATGCTCACAATGTACTGGAGGCTTGAGGGTATGTTGTGCAATCCACCCGTCTGGAAATGTCCCCCCCCCTCTTGGGAAATCCTTTGGACGAGGCTGAAACAAGATTTACTATGCAGGATGATCTTGATTAAATTCACCTGGATTGTCATTGATTATTTGATCATCGCCAAAGTTCTCATATTCCAAAAGAATTGATTTTTTGGGAAATCAACGACTGAATTATTACTCGAGGGCATCAACGTCTTTGTGCATAAAACGTCTTTAAATTAACGGATTAGTTTGTAAAACACAGAAGGGTGAATTCAAGTGAACCAATATTGACTTATTATAATCAAACGTATTAACAAGTTTGGCATTCACTTTGTACTAAATTGTCTGAATTAAAAAGGGAAATGTATGTTGTGACAAAATTAATGTTTAAAAAATTATCAAGTAATGTAAATCAAATTGGGTTAATAAACTCACTTTAGAAAAAAATATTATAATTGTTTAAAGAGGAATGCTTCTACTTTATCAGTGTTCCTAAAGATTTGGAAAAAATGATTTTTGAAAGATATAGCAAATAATGTAAATCTGCAGAACTGAAGACTTTCTAGGAGACTTCACAAGAAAAATTACTTTCCTTTCTAATTTAATTCAAATACCGTAACTTAAAAAAGAAGGAGGGGGGCGCTACTAGCAAAAGCAAAAACTTCTCTGTTGAGGACATTCCCATACAAACAATAGCACATGGACCCCTAGACTATCATCATGGCTCCCACAAGAAAAGAACACTTTAACATGAATGATTTCAACAGTCAAATAACTCAATATAGGCCATGACAGGGTTATATCATTATATGGCTCCCTTATGAGATTGGAGCACTTGCTTCTGAAAACATACAATATGAATGGGCAAAATGGGAATTATTTTAATGTACAAGGGAATATATTTATCATTCAAAGCAAAAGTGTATGTAAAAGTAATATTTAAAAGTTCTTTGAGGTCATTCAGTGGGACAAAATTAATGGGAAGAGGGACGCGGGTCAGATGGCAGGACACGGCATGGATACATGGTGGTTAAAACAAATGGTAGCAAGATATGCCCATCATACCAAATATGAAAATGTTTCATTAGGTGATGAGCCCATGTTGGCCATGTAAATGAATGACTTTGCTTTCCTTGAAACTGTCTATTAATTGATTAATAATTAATCTGTATAAGGAAAGTTTGAAAGCTACATATTATATGAAAGTTAGAGATCATAGAAACCAGCTTCTGCATGGGAAATGGGAACAGGAAATGTTTGTGACTTTGAACAAAACATACAAAAACACATTTAATGCTTGAAAAATTATTTTCCCTGCGGATGTTCTATGAAATATTCCCCGAGGTCACATATTGAATGTTATTGAAAGCAAAAATCAGGTCTTTAACTTTCTTGAGGTTCCCCAAGAATTTCCATTTCTTGTCATAGTAAATCATGGCTGATTTCACTTTAAAATTGAATTTAAATGGAGTGTATTTCTTTACAATTTAGAGTCTATACTTCACGTGTGTTACTTTAGTCATCATTATCACCCATTTCCTGGTTTTCTCGTCTATTTTATTATACGAACATGGCTGTCTCAAATTTTTAGGCAAGGGTGATCTTATGTGTTATAACAATTATAACAGGAAAGTGCAAATTCTGTAGTGTACATCTTTTTTATTTTCGTTATGAAATCAATATTATAGACAGTTATGAGGGTTGAACAAGGTTTAGAACATCAAATATGTCCATTAATATGATCTATAGCATTATTTTTAGTTCTAATTGTTTGGGATTAAGGTCATAATGTTGCAAGATCCACAATATTCAAACCTAGTTGAACATGTTTAGTCCAAACAGATAGATTTGATAATAAACAGTTGAAATTTAGTATTTGACTTTTCAAAGGTCAATGAATTCCGCTAATGTGTCACAAATGTATCCTTAACTAAAATATCACAAAATGACTTAACTAAATTATCACAAAGTAGCTTTATGAGAGTTATAGCATCCTTCTTCAAGGACTTCATTCATGCTTAAATTATCATCCTTGCTGCAAGGGTATTTTACAAGTATACTTGTAAAGTACTTGTAAAATACCCTTGCAGCAAGGATGGAGTTGTAGCATCAGCATCATCTAGTACAGCTGAGTGTCTCAAACAGTGTGATATCCTGATCTTTCTTGTTACCTCTCTCCTGGGAGATAATCTAGTGTTCTCAATAAGTCAATTTGGCAATCACTGAGTCGATGATTTGATTACTTTATGCTTTGAAATACACGTCATCTAATAACACAATTCTCTATTTACGATTCTTCATATTAATAGTCATCATATCATCAGCTAAAATGTTGATAAACTGTCTTAAAGTTTACTTGGACCATAGTCAACTGTTGAAGGTTAACTTGAATTATTTTGCAATATTTTCGCTTTAGTTGTATATTAAAACCTGTCTAATCCAAATGCCTTTTAGAGCCAGTGTTTGGATTAGTAAGTGTTCAAATTTCAAGGCTTTATAAACATGCAAGCTGATGAGAGAAAATAAATTTGGGACAAAAAAGTGTTCACATTGAGAGGTGTTCAGATCAGAGAGGTGTTCAAATATACAGGTTTCATTGTTTACTATAAAATCATTTAAATTATAAATTGTTTAAATGATTCTTGTATAAGTTAAGGAAAATTTGTTAGGGAAGACCTTTGGGTATTCCCTAATTTTGGAGCCACAATAAATTATCAAAATGATCAATCCCAATCCGAGAATTATTATTAATAAAACCTATTCAAACAAATTAACTTAATATTTAAAATGTCCCAAAGTGTTGTCTAATTCTACTAACAAACAAATCAATTTTTCCTATCCATATAACATGAAATGACCCAAATGACTAAAATATTTTAAATATGACTAAATATGACTGAGTTGATGCCAATTGTAAAATCAGCAGGATATTTGCATATTTGTTTTTGCCTCATTTACCATCCTTGTCAAATGGGCCGGGTTGAATAAGTTGGTCTTTATGTCAAAAATGTTTTTGTAGAGTCGGCTAAATAATTAATGTCTCAATATACTTCCATGGGAAATAAGGCAGCACTTGTTCTATTAAGCAATTTTTCTTTGTCATAATCACTTCTTGTATTTATCAATCCCAAACATAAAATCCTACATGGTAGCTAAATTTTCTTTTGCTCACAGCCTATGGAATCATGTCGTGTAAGCCTATGGAATACCCACTCATTTGTTTGTTCATCCATTGTCCCATCTGTCTGTCCATTAACAACAATTTTCAGACAAATACATGCTGCTATTCGCCTGAGTTAACCATTTTATTGGGGTCCATTACACCATTGTTTCCAACTCTTACTTTTGTCTCATTTTTGAGAAATTGGCTTTTTGTCATCATTTCCACCAGATGAGCCCACTAAAATGGTGCCATTTTTCAAAAGCATGGGAACATGACAACAAACTTAATGACACACTCATATCAGACAGTATAG